TATATATATATATATATGAAATTGTGAATAAAAATAATATCTTTTTGTTAATAATATCTTCTTAAAGTAAAGTTTTCTCTTCACTTGCATAATTGCATCTGGACATCTTAGCATAGATAAGAATTGAACGGTTGGTGGGAGAGATATGGTACACTAAAATACTTTTCTTTTGGTACTACTCAACTGATTACTTTAAAGGTGAAGGAAAAAAGCATTCTTTTTCACCACCGAACGGATCCTATTCATAGGAGATAGCCGACTGCAATGTCTCTTCTGTTTCCCGAGAAACTAGATCCTGTACTCATGTCATAGTTGCAGTTGAAGTACCCTCTTTCGAAGGTTCCATCTTCAATTTCTGATGAAGCATGGCCTACTACAGCTCTTCCTATTCTGGCTCTGATTATGGTGAGTACAATTCCAACTCTTATGCTCTCAATTATGATTATGCTCAAACCCCACCCTTTATGGCTTATACTGCCTATGACTACAATCAACCATATTACGGGTATGAGCCTAGTTTGTATTATGCTCCTAATTACACTGCCCAGAGTTACCAAACCATATCATACTCTGCCACAACTTATTGTGACCCAAAATCAGTTGTGTATGATCCCAATTATGGTATGACTCAACTTGTGATCTCTTATTCTAACTTGGAATTCAATGAGCCTGCATTTGATGACTATGACCCAACACCTTATGGTGGTGGGTATGACATTGATCAGACCTATGGCAAAGCCCTACCACCTTCAGATAAAATTTGCTATCCTCGTTCTGGATCAAGTCCTATTAGTGCCATAGTGCCATTACCTACTATAGAAGAGGGAATTGAGGAGAAAGCAATCATACCCCAGAATGGTACTGCAGTCCAAACAACTGAAGAGAAGCCTCAGTCACAAGATAGTGGCAAAGATCAACCAGGGGAAGCAGAAGACGACAACTACGACACTGGTGAAGATGATGGCAGTGAGAGTGAGGGAAGTCACCATGAAGATGGCTACAGTGGAGGACATAATAGTGAGTATGAGAAGCAAGTGGCTCCTCAGTATCCTAGGGGATATGGGTTGGAAGCTGTGGACCTTTGTGAAAGCTTGTTTGGGTATTGGCCTTGTTTGGCACGTATGAAGACGAGAGAATGTTGTCATGAGGAAGTGACTGATAGAGGGAACTATTGCCAGGAAAACATGTGGAAAGGTACTGCAGATTATCTATTTGGCAGTACAAATCCTTATGGTGAGAGAGGGGAAGATGGAGGAGACCTTGTCTATGGCTATCAAAGGCACTATCCAATGCAATCACAATACAGACAGATTGATCATAATGGTGAATCGTGGTGACGCACCAAAACGATTTGTTCAAAGATCTAATAAAAAAAGGTTTAAGTGTAAATCTTGTCTCTCTTGTAATAAATGTAAAATTTGAATTTGAAGATGTGAAAACAAAATTTCATGCTTGCTTTGTGGTAGGTGATGTGTTGAGTGCTGTGATGGTTAAAAATTCTGCTCCAAGACTTTCTTTTCTAAATGACTAAATTTGCTTTCAGATTATCTATGAATTTTTGGTGTTTATATTTTGAAAGAGTATACACTCCTTTATTGTATTTTTACATTTTTTCACTAATATACTAGTTCCGATTCTAATTATAAGTAATGTAGGGCAAATTATTAAAATTAATAAAAATTAATTAATATAATTATTTTTAATTAATTCTATCCATGAATTCAAATTTTATTTTAAATATACTTTTACTTAATTAATTTAACTGATTATTATATTTAATATTAATTATAAGTGAATACATAAAAAATAGAGTTAACACTAAATGAAATGTATAAAAGAAATTTAATTGTGAATAACTTTACAAATTAATAATTGTAACTTATAATTAGAAACTAAAGAAAAAACCAATTTTTTGCTTATAATTAGAATAAGAGATAATATCTTTAAAGGTTGATAATAATAATAATAATAATAATAATAATAATATTATTATTATTATTATTATTCTTTTTAATCTATACCAATATATAAAAGAGATATAATTTTTTGTCTATAACAATATTAATTTTTAGCATCCATTTTTTGAAAGATATTTATACTCTTATATTGTATTTTAATTTTTTTTTTCTCACTAATATATATTTTAAGGAAAAAAATGTATATGCAAAATAAATAACCTCACTTTAAAAATAATAACTATTCATTTTTTTTCTTCACGGAAACTTATTTTTTTATTTTCACAAACGCACCAAGTGTCTTTTTCTTCATATTATGTTATAATGGAAATAGCTAAAACTCACCATATCTAGATTGAAACGCTTTCATGTTTTTCTTAAAACTCCTTTTACTTGGTTAAAGAATTACAGCATAAACTTATATGGACTTATTATAATTATACAGTTATTTTGGACTGGGCTTTCAGTAGGCCCAATCTTGTAGGCTCAACTCCAAAGACTATGAAGTCCGTAATCCAACATTCTCCTATGTGAATGTGACTGCTAGCTTTATCATCTTGTTAATTGCATTGTTATAAAAATAATTGCAATGATATTACATTCTCGCCTATTTCTATACTTAATTTTTAATCTTAAAATTATAAATAATGTAATATTTTTAAAAATTTCAACCCTCGTTTTAAATTTACGACTTTTGATTTATGACTTCATTCAAATATTGACAGTTTATTTATGACGGGGTATGATATTTAAATATTATAAAATGATATTGTGGTGTATAATATTTGAATATTCAAATTATTAAAAAAGAAATTAAGCAACAAGGGATTAACTCTAAAAATGTTAATCTATCATAAAGGGGCAAATTATAATATAAATATTGTTTGTTATACACATTTGATGTCTTCTTTGACCTATTCTCTTTAAATCATCTGTATATATATTGGATTATTTTCTGTAATTCAAAGTCTCAAATAGTTTCTCAAACAAATTTTAAACTTGTAATTTCAACTAACAACAATTTATATGTATATGATGTTGTATTTCTTAGCTGGACTTTTTGTCCTTGGGATATGATAGCTTGGACCAGTGGTTAGAAAATTGAAATTCATATTGGGAATAAGATAGTGACGAATGAACTAACACATGCTATGAAACAAGTACTGAGAGTTTGTGTTTTGTAACTAAAATAATTTAACTAGACTTATTAATGAAGCTCTTGGGTCCATGGCCAAAACACATTCGAGGAGCCAATTTGATGAACGGAATTGGCGACTGAAATCTTTTTAATAAATGCGCATTCCCGCACGCATGTTTTATGTATCATTTATGTGTGTATAATGGATCCATTCCATATCCCCCACTTGTATTCTTTGCTTAAAAAGTCTTCTAACCTAAATTAACAAAAGGACCAAAATATATAATTGTTGTCTAGAACATTCGACAATGCATGACTTTGGTGATACTATATTAAAAAGATGATGAAGATGAAAACAGAATAAATATGAGTAAAAGAGAGGAAAAATGTATCCATGGCCCCTCGTCAACCGCAGATTAAGGCCAAAGCGCCAAAGACTACATTCAAATCCATCTTATGTTTTCGACTTACGTACAAACATGTCATTACTAAAATAAAGCATCACAAATCGTAAAGGCAAAGTTGTTTTCAACCACAATCATCATTTATTCTTTATACTCTATAATAAGACATACTATTCAAATAATAAAATTATACAATATTATAAAGACAATACATTCCTTTCACTCATCTAAGTTAAATTTATTGACATTCATAACAATTATTTTGAAAGTTATACTCGTACTTTTTTTTTTCTTTTTAATTTCTCTTATATATTTATTGTATGATATAATATCACTAATTTTATATATGTAGCATCTATCACTCCGCCTCCTACTAATTATTTCCATTAAAATAATTGATTAAAATGGAACGTTATCTTTATTCCATTTCCAACTTTGGATCTCCCATTTTAATATGCTTCCTCGTCACATTTCTTGGGTCATAGTTCATAGATTGTAACGCAAGGGTAGTTTGTTCATTTCACACACACACAATCCATGTAATGCCAACCAAGAACCTAGAAATTCTATCAATTGTCCTCTCTGGCTCCCACTTCCAATCATAGTGTTCAAAAACTATGTTTGTATTGTACTACTACTACCATCTTAGAAACCCTGTTAAAACCTCAAGCACCAAACTTCTCACTCAAAAGCTTCCTCCTTCACTCACCCTCAACATGTCTATGGCACACACATCTTCACAAGCCATCTTTCTAGTTTTTGTTGTTCTTTCTTTCTCAGTGTCTGTTGCACATTCTTCTATTCATGAGCTTCTCAGAAGCCATGGCCTACCAGCAGGGCTTTTCCCAGAGAGTGTAAAGTCATACAATTTGGACCAAAGGGGTGTTTTGGAGGTGAACTTGGATGGTCCTTGCATGGCCAAGTATGAAACAAGAGTGTTGTTTGAAACTGTGGTTAGAGCTAACCTTAGTTTTGGTCAGCTCAAAGGGTTGGAGGGTCTGTCTCAGGAAGAGCTTTTCCTTTGGCTACCTGTGAAGGATATCATCGTGAATGATCCATCTTCAGGTCTCATTCTCATTGATATTGGTCTTGCTCATAAACAACTCTCTTTGTCTCTCTTTGAAGATCCACCAGTTTGTAGATCCCAAGGTACTGTTCCACTCACTTTCACTTTGTATAGCTGTTATTTACTCATGACTTGTCTTTAATTTCTTTGAATTTTGGACCTTTCAATTATGGACTTTGAATAGAAATCATCGTGGAATAGGAAAAGCATTAAAGCATATGCATATGCATATGCATGCCATTTTTTTCTCAGCTATGATTACTTTCCAGGCTGTCAAGTGATATGATTGGATGTATTTCAATATTCAGCGGACATCAATTTTGTCGTGGGGTTTTGATTTCAAATATTGAATGTGGCTTCGTGCAGGTCTTTCACTAAATATTGGTGGAAGGAAGGGCATTGGATTTCAAGATCAGAGATGAAAGACTGCTTGTTTATTTATCTGAAAAAAATGGTTTCTTCTTTTCTCTTTCCAATTTTGTTTTGCTTTGCCCTTTTCTTTTTCCTTTATAAATAATAATTATTATATGGTGTAATGTGCATAGATCCTAAGAGAGTTGTGATTAAATTAGAAATCAGATGAGGGGAAAAAAGAAACTGATAGCGGTGCTTGTTGTAAAAAATCTTTGTGCAATTTTGTTTGCCGCTTTTTTCTAATGCTCAAGGAAAGTTATTTGATATTATCATGTCATATCATTCCATTTCGTTCTTTTCTTTTCCTTTTCCTTTTTACTTTACTAAAAGGGAAGTCATTCTTTGAAAGAAAAAGCTATTTGATCCTCTATTGAAGATATTCAGAGGATCTGCTAACATTGACAGTTATTTAGATGCCTATTGAAACTAAATTTGCCTCTCAAAATTTGAGTAGGAAAAACCTTAGTCGCTTCAAGTTAAAATTGAAGACTGAGGGGATATTCACATGGCCATTACATATGGATCGTAAATCAAAACTTGATTAATCTATTTGGCATTCATATGGGCAAAATGTTGGTCTACTGTGAATTTCTTTCTTATATACCCTTTTCTATGTGTGTTTTCTAAGGAATGAAAAGAACTAAGATATCAACTTGTTTGGTTAGATTCAGATATTCAATATAAAGTCCTCTGTCTTCCTCACCAGCATTGGAAACCCATCTCCATTTCTAGTCTAGTTGGTATTTGTCTTGAGTTGTCTTTTTCTTAGATTTTGGACAACCATGTTAAACTTATAATCTGGAACCATATTCTTATGTACTTAGTTCCAGTTTTGTTGAAGTACATTGCAGACTACTGTACTTGAGCCGTAAATGGACAGCATTGATGCTGTTGTAGCCTTTTATTTTAAGGTTTAGGTGGTCACAGGTTCTTGTCTCTCTCTCCGCTTTCCCTGCATCACTTTTGGTTGGTTGTCTAATGACAGTACAAGCATTATTAATAAGGAGAACCTTTATTTCTATAGCCATTTAGTTTTTTTAATCTTTCCATAATTTTTAAACAGATCGAAGGTAAAATAAAAAATCAAGTGGGAAGTTATTACAAACTAAAAATAGAATCTGTTATGTAACTGATTTTCATTTTCACTGCAAAAATATTGAGTTGACTCATTTTATTTTATTAAGTAACTTTATTTTATTTTATCAAGTATAGTCTAAATTCTGAAATTGATTTAGTTTTGTATCATCTTTTTGAATGGTTCAAAAATCATTTTTCTTATCTAATTAACATATTCCGCGTAATAATATAAGTGTCCCAATTGTGGTTGGTGTTAACATATGACTTTTTTTAGAGGGGTTAGAGAGACACAATAAGATGAACTGTTTTTTTAATAAAATATAAATACTGAATGTTATAAGCTAGCTGATATGATACTGATTCTGCATTATCCAACAGTAACAACAAACAAAATTATCTAAACTGTCATGGTGTTTTTTTTTCATCATTATAGAATGAATCCTCTCAAATGCTAGTGGTACTTAAATCATAACCTAACAATAAAATAACTTAAAATCCATTTCAACTGGCTCTATATGTCATTGATAATATCTTGTAACAAATTCTTGGTTTGATGAACTGCAAGTCTTTCACCATCCTTGCCCTGAACAATAAAAAAATATTATGTTAGCACATTGTTAAGTTTCTGAAGGTTGCAGAGATGCATCTTTTAATACAAAGATGAATCAAACTTCATCTTCAAGTCTCTTATGAGTTTAGTAACATACAAAGCATGAATCATTTGCTGTAAAAAAGCAAGTCTGATTTTTATCATTCTTAGAATCCCTCACCTGTATGCAGCTTGTAATCAGAAATGCTCCTTTTGTGGTTGTGAGATTAGTATCTATGAGCTCAATGCCAAAATTATTGAGGGCCTCCATCAATTTGCTGAATCTTCCCCTCTTCTTCTCAATGATGATCTTTACCCAAAGTTTATTCCCATCTATTTGAGCCACTCTCACCTCTGCCTGCAGAATGTAACAGTGGTAACATTAATAGTTAACAGTTGGAGAGACTAATCATTCTTTTTCCTAAAGAGAAGATGAGTTGTTTGGATACAAACTTTAAAACACTTTTTAGAACTTCTTTATTGGAAAAAGCTCTTTATTTTCGTAAAGAAATTCTCAAAAGCATTTCTAATTTGAATCTAAATAGACTCGATCTTAATTATAGATGACCTGTATCCCCCAATTCTGCATATCCTCCACTGCATTAATTTCATCTGCTTTTGTCTCTGCTGTGTCCTCTGAAGTTGCTTCCATTCGGTGAAGCTCATGGCTGAGACTCTGGACTTTGGCTTGCAGCTTCTCAATGTAGGTGATAGCATCTTCGACAATTGTTGCTTTATTCATCTAAAACAAAAATTAGAGTTTTATAATCAGTTTACATTGCAGCAATTAATGTAAGTGAACATTGAATAAAGCATGAGATAAAGAAGTAAGAAAGTGAGGGCTTAGGTAGTTGCATTTGTGATGATAGGTACTATAGAACGCAGCATCAAAAGCCTGCTACTCAGCTTCTCCCTCCTCCTCCTTTCAGTCTCAAGGTTCTTTGATTTGTACTCTCTTGTGTCATCATCATAGTTCCTCTTCCTACTCATCCTTTGCATGCTACTACCATTTTCAGTAGCAAGAGAAAATTCTTCCATAGTAACACATAACCGATCTTCATCTTCATACTCCATTTGTGGAAGGGAGAAAAAGCAGGTTTTGAAGAAATGTGTGTTGAAGGGTTTGTAAATTGAAAAATGGGAATTGGTTGGTGGCTATATAAGTGCTTCTCATAGAGGCATCATGTCAGATAAACAGAAGAAGAGAGAGAAAGTACATCGATGCGTGTTTTGAGGGTGGTCCCTAGTTAATTCAGGTGTGTTTCTTATGACACACAAAATATATTCCAGTTTTAATGTGTCTTCTGGTTTGGAATCTTCCTAACAAAATGTGATTATGAATTCTGGTTATTTTCTTACACAATGCAATTAGAGATCACATTGAAGTTGTTCATAACTAACTTGTTTCTTTGACAATAACAGCTTTGAGGAATAACTTTACCACAGAATCATAAAAGGTTTAACTATAAGAGGAAAGAAAAATCATGTAACTACTTATTTGTACCAGGCAAAATGCAGCAAGTGGAAAGAAAAAGAAAAAAGAAAAAAGAAAAAAAAGCTAGTTTTTAACGTAGGCTTTGGTAAAGTGCAAATGAACTTTCGTGTGCATTTTGGTGTGATTTGTAAGGCCTTTGGCAGTTGGCCTTGTTGACTGAAACTGCAAACCACAGTTGAGTGTGGTTGTTAGAGCCACAGAGGAATCATTGATTATTAGTTCTCATTTTATTTTTATTTTTTAATCCTTTAAAATTATATATTTTTAGTTCTTGATGGAAAATGCAGTTTTTTTTATATATTTAATATTACATATAATATTAAATATATTAAAAGATTAAAAGAAGTGAGAGGTGAAAAAAGGATTTGATGGAATGAACCAAACGATTGGAAAGAGAATTTAATGGTAAGTGGAGAGAGATACGAGAAGGAAAGAAAAGGAATAATAAACATATATTCTAACTTCAAAAAACTTTTAATCAAATGATGAGTATTAATAAAACATCATTCAATTAAAAATTATTGAATTTGATTCTTTCTCAATTCATTGAAGAAATGTTTATATTTGATGTGAGTATGCCAATTATTAGTTGATTTTTGAAAGAAAAAAAAATTGACAATCGTTTTAGTCTTAAGAATGATAATTAGATCTCTGGTAAATGGAGATTTTTATCCATCAATGAAGATTTCGTTTTTGATCGGCATGAATCGGACACAGATTAAATTATCTTTTTTTCTCCTTCTATTGAGTTTGAGTGACGTACCATTCGTATAGGAAAAGTGCATTCAGCAAAACCAGTAAAATGTAGGAGGTGTATTTAGTAATCCCCTAATCTCAGTGGTGCTGTCTCAATGTAAAGAGGTGCAAATGTCACTACCAAACCAACACCTAAGCCATCTAAAACCCTTGCAAAAAGGAGATCACCACAAGATTACCTGTTGCAGAATTTTATTATAATTTAAAATTTAATTAAATATTTTATTTAATTACTTTTTCTGTTTGGAAATATTTTAATAAATTGGTTTGTATTTTAATATTTTTTAATTACTTTTAATTAACATTAAAATGATTATGTTTTTTAATTGTTATTTTGACCAAGTTTGTATGTTGGGAGTAAAAGTAATATATAATAATCTCTTCTTTTAAAGACTATTTCTATTGCTAAAATATTTTTGAAATGATATTATTTGATTCAAAGATCTTTCACTGTACATAATTGATTTAGTATATTATCGAATCTTAGGAGAGAAATATATTACACATTCATTTATCACTTCAGGGGAGTATTTTCTTTCTAAAGATACATAATATCAATATTTCTCTTCTATTTATTTCTTATTTTTCTTAAATTAAATTATTAAATTTTTACTTTATTTCTTACCTATTTGTCTCTTCTCTATTTCTATCCACTCTATATCTTACATTTTTTTTCTCTACTAAACACACCCTAAAAGATCAGTATGAATTTCTTTGTGGAGTTAAAATTATCTTCATTCTCTTCATTAGTGAATGATAAGGGAGTTCAGTAGGAGACATATAACATTAATGAAATTACTAATCATCATGATTTTTTTTAGAGTTACCCAATGAGAATTTTCTTAAAAGTTACATGAAAAAAGACATTTTTACTCCTAGCAACAAAATTAAAATGAGTCTAGTACTAGTTCATTGGTTGATGATAGAATAATGAAGTAGTTTAACGCATTATTTGTTTAAAGTGATTTTGGAAAGAAAGAAGTGAGTGAAAAAGAAGTATAATAGAAAATTAAGTTTTATATTGTTTGAGAAGGTGATAAAGAGAAAATATTAGTGGGTCTATATTAAAAAAATTTCATAAAAAAAAGAGATTTTTGTGGATAAAAAATAGTGGGACCCATTAAAATTGAAATGACATTTATTCTTTGATTTTAAATTATATAAATATTTTTTAAGAGTAATTATGTCTTTAAAACACACACCTTTCTTCTCTCCATTTAAACAACTTAAAATTCTACTCATTTTCTTTCTTTTCCTACTCCTTTCTTCTCAAAATCTTCTATCATGCAAACAAAGCATCAAACTGAAGCATGGCCTTTGAGGAGTCATCAAGAAATTCTTAACTTGTATTGATGGAGTTTTGATACCTCTCCCATCAACAACTAATAACATGTTAACACGTGTGTTAGATATGCAATTTCACTCATGTGTTTAAAAATGAAAATACAAAAATAATACACATGTCACCAAACTATTGGTTATTAGTGTGGGAGGGGAATCAAAACCTCCCTAAACACATGAAATGTCTAAAGAATCTCCGTATTATTATCAGGAGTCATCTCAATCCCACGTACGTACAAACAACAGACATTGATTTTCACCCACACTCACACAGGTAACCTTCATCCTTCTTCTCTTCCCCCATGTATTATTGCCTTTTAAGGAGTAGTGTCTTGGCAATCATTTTTTGCAATTTGTAGTGGATGAATAAATATTCGATGAGATTTTCTCCGCTTATATATTTTTTAATCTCTTAAAAGGTGTGAGACTTATAAAATAATAGTTATTTTTTATTTATATATTATTTTTTAATAAATAATTATTATTAATAGTAAACTTTAATATAATATAAATATATTTTTAGTGATCATTATATATTATTTATTAATATTTTTATTAAATAATAAAATAAAAACAATTAATTTATTATTATTAAATAATTATTGTTAATAATAAAATTTGTTTGTAGTGAAGTTAAGATTTGTAACATTATGTCCATTGTACTTTTCAATAATTGTTCATGTATAGTATATACTGTTGAGGTTAATTAAATGCTTTTATTATTAGAGACAAAAAGTTAAAACACAAACACAAACAGGTTGGACCTAATTGATGATAAACATACGTGCTTTCATGCTAATGAAAGTGAAACTACTTAGCAATAAGCCAATAACCTTCAACTAAAGGACTAAGCATAAATAATAACTATATGTGTCCAGCATCGACATCAAGCAACGTTTGTATTTGTTCTCGTAGACGGGAGAGGCTAGGATTGCTTTGATAATGGTACATCAAAGGTACCATTCTAGCTGCATTGAGACAAAATTTGGTGAATGATGAGGGTAATCCAGTTGAGGTGAGGACTTGTCCATTGAGACGTTTCCATTCACGTGAAATCAAGTGGCAAACATGACTTTGTGCGTCTTCAGTTGAAATGTCTTGATGTTCATTCATATAGCAATCAAGGTATGACCCATCAAGTCCGTTTTCATTTTCACTCTGCAGTTATCCACATCCTTAATTACAACATTACATATTTATAATACAATCATTACTAGATTTTATGTTGTTACGTGCTTTTTTTTTCATGCAAATTTTACCTAAAAATTCTTGGAAATGTTATTTCAAGAAATTTTTCTGCGAAACTTTATTTCTGGGTAATACTTACATGAATAATATATTTTTGAAAATTTTAAAATTCGTAAGAAATCTTCCTACAGAAAAAATTCGTAGAAAATTTTCTCGCAAAAAAAATTAACATGTGAAATTTCCCGTGAAATTTTTTACAAGAAATTTTAAACGAAAATTTCTTACAAAAAAAAAAACAAAGAAATTACTATTTAGAAATAATTTTTTTACAATTTCTATTAATAATTCTTCAACTTTCAAATGTTTACAATAAATTCATTTAAAGCATTAAGAAATTTAAGAAATTTTCTTTCATGCCTTTAACATGTGATAAATAACATTTTAAACTCTTATATTGTAAATTATAAGTCGAACACTCAACAATACAAGATCAACTTGTAAGATAAGTGTTGCCCCAACTTATATACTCTTTAATTGTTTTATTTCTAATCGACGTGAGACTTGAGGAAAATCTTTTAATTCTTAAACTTATAAATTTATATATATATATATATATATATATATATATATGTATGTATATATATATATATATATATTCTTGCAAATTAAAATTGGCAGGAAAATCTATAAGAAAAGTTACCTGCAAAATTTTTCTATCATTTAGTAAACATTACTTGTGAATTTATTTTTACAAGAAAATCTGCAAGAAACAAAATAAAATTCTTACAACATTTTCTACAAATTTTACCATAAAAAAATTTCTATAATCACTAAAATTATAGCAAAATTTGGAAAAAAAAATATTTGTAGATTATTTTTCATAAAAAAATTTTTAAGAAATTTCTGTAAATTATTTTTCGCAAATAAATTTGCAAAACTTTTTTGTAAAATTATTTTGTAAGAAAATTCGCAAAAAAAAAAAAAAAAACTACGAATATATTTTTTTAGGAAAGTTTGCAAAAAAATAACTTTTTCCTAGTGAATACTATATTTTCATAATACTATAATTGAACTTCATGTTTGATTTTGAAATAATATGTTTGAACTTCATGTTTGATTTTGAAATAATATGTATAAGATGTTAGGTCAAATATTATTACTATCGTTATAATTTTTATATTTACCTGAGCTCCCTCTAAATCATCAGAAAGACGAAGAATTTTTGCCACTGAATGTATAATTTCTGGGAAGTTGTCCACGATAGCAACAATTTCCTTGTTTATAGTCTGATCCAAGAGGAAGAATGCATGGACAAGCACCACATGCACTCCTGTGGTCACAATTCCATTGTTCAAGTACTCCTCTGACCTTGGCAAATGTCCAGAATTCAACCAATGTGCCTCTTCCAAGAAAGCATTCAACAATTTCACCCACTATTTCATATAAATTAATGCTTCACTATTAGTTAGGTTTTCAAGAAACCCTACTATCTACTTAAACAAAATAATTGACATGTGACATGATGAATTGCACAAAAATAAAATCGACTCTTTACCGATCTTTTCAGGGTATCTATAGGGTTCAATCCATGTTTTTTGTAGATCTTTTCCGCGAAATCATTTGTAATTTCGTAAAGAACACTTAGACACATTTTCATGAAGTCTGGAAGTTGCTCTGTGCCAGCCAATTCCCATCTGAATCGGGAGAAATAAATTCGATCAATTCTTATAGCATATTTCTATAATTAGATCGAAATATCAAAAGAATATGGTAGATGCCAAGTCATATCTTGTAGTGGTCTTGCTGGGAGACATAGAACATGTGTGGGTTCTTTTGTTTGACATTTTGAATTTAGTGTAGCACACTCATTTGATTAGCTATTCATTTGTATTAAATAAGTACAAATTGTGTTTAACTGTTTGGACAAGTTAATGCTAAATATTTTATTGTATATGGATTTGATATCCCTTATACCCTTCAATATACTATTTATTTGCTGTCTAAAAAATGTTATATCTTGTAGTTCATTTGCTGAAAGCATTTACGTAGCTACGTTCAACAGCTTTTACATATTCATTCTCTATTTATTATTTTCCATTACATTATTTATCATTTACATGTGTTTTTCTTCTCTTTTTATCTCCCTCTTTCTGTAGAAATTGTAAAAAAAATTGTTGGAAAAACAACATTACTCCTTTTTAATTTTAGAAAAATTCTAAAAATATAATACAAAAATATTTAAAATTTTAAAATAAATATGCCTAACTAATTCAAGCAAATAAATAAAATATAAGTGGTTAATATTTATGAGAGAAAAAAATAATAAAATTAAAAAATACTTAAAAGTAATAACTAGGATTTGAAGGCAAATATAAAAAGAAATTTTAAACAATTAAAAGTTGGAGTTTGGCAAAAAAAAATTCATAATATGAAAGGAAAAATTAAAAATGCCCAATACTTTTACAATATTTGAAAAATATAAAATCAATATTAAATAACAATAGATTCACTTATATGCATGTGTGTATTATATAGAATAATACCTATTAATGGCATCTGTAAATAAAGTAAGTTGGTCTATTGTCCCATAAACATCGAAGATGTCATCAATAATGTAGATTAGAGAGATAGGTTTAGTTAGCTCAATCCTTTGGTCTGAAAAGCTTGGATCTGTGAAGCACGCCATTGGCCACATGTACCATTTAAGAGGTTGATACCTTGCGAACTTCACCTCCTTCGCCATTCCAAGATCTTTCCACCATCTGTTATTGTTAAAAGGTTGGTGATTATTACAACTGCTATTCCAACTAAAAATGAATATGTCACTGCTCTAGAGGGATTATTGGTTATGAATCTTACTTGTAAACTTGTTTTATTTCATTCTGGTTCATGGACCTAACTATGCAGGAATTGATTTCAGCAAGTTCCTCTAAGCATGTCCATTCTTTCTTGGTCTTGAAATCACTTAGATGCATATTTTTGTCCCTGAATCTTGATAAGCCATAGTGAAGTGGACTCTGAAGAGTGTTAGCAACATAAATTGCTTCATGATGTTCTTTATGTGTTGTCAACCATGCATGAAGAAGTTGGTTGCTGAGGTAACCTGCTTCATCAACACTATCTTCTCCTTCAATACTTAACTGGGTTGCCTCATACAGGGCAATGAGACTCTTCACATCTTCACCATATTTTTCTCTAAACTCTCTTTTGTTACTCTTCAAGCTGTCAAATAAATCTGAGCATACATATAGTTGTAGCATTTAGTAACCAAGCAACAAACTCCTTTTTAATAAAACTAAGCTGATATATATAGTTGTTAGTTGTTACATAGAATGGAAATGTGTATATAATTAGAAGGTAAATATGTTTTGGTCGTTTATACATATAGAGTGAAAGATATATAGTTTGAACCTGCATGAACATAATGGCCTCTTTGTCTAAGTAAACGGAAGGCAAGTGCAACTTTATAAAGTTTATGGTTATCCGAAAAATCATTAAGATGACTGCTAAATATGAAATGATGGTTCTGAAGAACGGCTTCAGTTTCCTCTTCGAAGAGGTGTTCAATGCCAAGCCTTTGGATAATGTCAACCATACACAAACTTTCCATGGGATTCTCGCTAATGAGTTTCTGGAACACATGCTTAACTTCCTTCAATACCAATCCTTGTTTCATATAAATATCATCCTGAAAATGTAAATTTAATGGTCAATATATTTAAGAACAAATTTTCGATGAAAAGATCGTCAACAGAATTAGAATTTGAGTTGTAGATGCAGAAAAGAAAAAGAAGCATCCTTACCATAATGGAATCGTTTCTTTGAGTCTTTGCTTCTACACTAGATGTGAAGAAATTAGCCTGTTTATGTTCCTATTTAAGGTCGCGTCCGTTTAGAATGAGTTTGTACACACGCGTTCAGCATCGCATAACTGCATGTGGAAAAGATATTTCGTTACTCGCAAACAAATAAAAATAGCCTTTCACACCAATTTTTTTTTTATATATATATTTTTTCTATTTTTTGATTGCGAGTTTAATCCCTATATATTAAATACAATTTTTTTTGTCTTATGTTCATTTATTATAATATTTATAGATTAAATTTTAATATTTTTAAAATAATTTATTAATAAATTATACAAAATTTAAATATAATTTATTTATTCAAATATAATAATAATATTTATATGTAATTTATTATAAATTTCAATTACATTTAATAAATAGATTAATTAAATACTTAGTCTATGCGTTAATTACTATGCACGTGTAGCAATTAATTATTTAATTTTAATTACATTTAATAAATAGATTAATTAATTCATTTTAATTATTTTGGATGTCATTAATTACTATGTGTAGCAATTAAAAGGCGTTGAAATTTCAGACTCAACAGCATGAAACACACTTACGGAATAGGTATATA